TGGCCTTCACCCAACGCCGGGCAACAGCACACAATCCCCCAGACTCACCCATCTCACCCACTTTTCGCATTATCCCGCAAACTCGAGCATAATTGCTGCAGCTGCTCCTGTTGCGACATTTTCATTCATAATTGGCCGGAAGCCACCCAAAGCGACCTCGACCTCATTCGGCCACTGGCTGGAAAACCTCGAGAAACCACAGCACAGACCACAAGTTGTCCCAGGCAACCAGAACCAGAAGCGCACCTAACTCGATTTGTGGCCACTTCTGCGTTATGAGTATGTGTTTAGTCCGGCTAGCGAAGTCACGCTGTGTGTGCTGGGCAGGATATGCTGTCAACTGGTCACCAGGGTATTGCACTGGCTCACATTTAGCCAGGCTCCACGTTGCGTCTTTCCTCAAACTAACGACTGGAAGCTACTCTGCTTTCGATAGAGCTGAAAGGACATTTAACTTGATTGTTCTTTACAAGGGTCGCCTGTCATAAATATTTATTAGCCCATAACTGAAGCAGACCTTCAACAGTCCTTATACATATTTATCCTAACGCTAACCATCCAAAAGAGGTAATATACTATCTTTTACCCTTTTGCAAGGAACCAAAATGAGAGTGCTGACAATTGGCAGTTAGCCAGCTGCTCCTGTGCAAAGAGTGTGTTTAATGCTACATGGAATGCAGCTGGTTAGCTGCTTAAAGGCCCCAATTGACCTTGCAGTACAAGCAGCTTGCCAGGACTCGCTCGCAGTAAGGACATTCAACTTTAGAGTCTTAGAGCGGAATGACGCCGACACTCGAATTCAATTAGGTAAAGTGCAAGGCGAGTGGCAATAGAAATGAGCATTTCAAATGACGGCGACAAATTGAATGCCTCGATAACTTGATAATATATATTTATTACGTATACGCACCGAGCACCATCATAATAAGGATACAGCAAAGTCACGAGCCAAGTTGCCAGAGGGGACAGAGAAAGAGAACCTTTTTATAGTTAGTATGTGACGTTTCAAATGAAAATGTTATCTAAGCCACAACCACAGGTTGACCGCACGTCGAAGGTTCTCCCAATCGTGACGTCGTTACTTGCCTCTACATATTTGCCTCTGTATGTGTGTGTGTGAGTGTGAGTTCCGGCGGCGGAAGCATTCGAGAGGCAGCTAACTGGGTCAGGGCTTTTGCGCTTCATCGTCGGCATTTTCGTTGTCGTTTCTCAACTGCAATGCTGCAACCCCTTCTTATCCCCTCTCCAGTCTTCCGTTTTGCCTGTGCATTTCATTCTGAAACAGTTGCAACGCCACTCAGCACTCAGCCAAGCATAATGCATAGTAAAAAGCAACACCTAAGATTTATTAAGATAGCAGACAATCAAGATATAAATAGACGCATAGACACATAAAAAAATATATTTATTTATTGTGTGTGGCAGCAAAATAGATAAACATCCAAACATATTTCTTAAAAACACAATAAATATAAATAAATATACTATCTTAAACTCCGGAATAAGCTGAACCAAGATGGTCCCATCACATATTTCGACCTCATGGGGTCAATGACGTCTGTGTAGAAAATGTAAACACATTATAAAGAAAAATGCCTGTCTTTAATAAATTGCATTCCTTTGCTTTGTAGTTTCCTCACTGCCATCAACACATTTACTAAGTAAACAAAGTCATCATATGTTTTCCAAGAATTGATTATCTTACCGCTCGAAATGGTTTATACTTGTGGCGATAATGTTTAAATTGTGTGAAGCAGATAAATTAACAATTAGGTTCGGTGCTTGAGCACACACATTGCGCATACGTCACGTGTGCCACAGCTCAGTAATTGAATTGAGTTAATGTCTAACGTTGCGTTACGTTCCTAATATGTGACTGTATATCCATCAGCGGCTTATTATTAAATGCATGAGCTACCCCAAAACAGAGGACGACCAGTAGGCGAATCGCGACCCTCGCATTGCATGCATAATGCAGCAAGTTGGCCAGCTGCGCCACCCATCCACCCATCCCCCCATCAATGTGCTCAAGTGTGTCGCTGCTGCTTATAAATAGCGCACTCGCACTCGCACTCGGGGCGCTGATTAATGCGCCAGATATAAGATATTGTAACCACGTAAGCCTACCGCATCGCACACAGAAGACAGCTGGAGAGCTGGGCTTAACCTAAATATGGAGGCTGCTACAAATCACGCTGCTTTTGTTCTGTTCTGGTCGGTTCTCTTCTGTCGGTTCTGTTCTGTTCTGTTCTGCTCGGTTCTCTTTTGTGTGTCGTATGGATTGACCTTCCAGCGGTCTGCGTGTCGGTGATGTCACAAAATACACACACACACACACACACACACACACACACTCACACATACACGAGCACACACATACAAATGTCATACTAAATGTCAGGTTAATTTTAAACCCGCGACAAAGCGCAAAGCGAATGCCAACCAAAGCATATAATAACAATAAACGCCTTAGCGGATATTGCACCAAAGCGCTGTTGAAATCCGAACACGAAAGGTGAAAAGCTGGACATAAAAACTTTAATAATAATAAGAACACAAGCCGTTAAGGGAATTATATAGAGAAGTTTGGAAGCTGAACTGTCATTCCAACTTTTTTTGCTCCTTAAACCAAACGTCGAACGAAGTACTTAGTTCAAGTCGATTTCTTTTGGATTTACAGCCTTACAAAAATATATATAGACCCCATTGATATCTGGAGCAACTGTAGATTCTGTCAGTTGAAAATTCTGCTCAGCCATAAAATGTAAACATTTCACGGGGTCACTAAGTAATTTAATAATGAGTAAGCAATAAAAATTGACAAACTTGATGAACTTCATAAAAATCCAAATATAATCAAGCGGGCAGATAAAGGTCAATAAGATAGACAGAGGTCTTTTGATGAGCGCCAGCGAATGCACATAGTATAAAACCCCCATTATTTATATAAACTAATCAAATTGATGCTGAATTGTCAGATTTGCTTGAACATATGTTGATCAAGTCAAAACATGTTGAGTATGCTGATATAAAACAATGCATATTGATGAGCTACTATTAAACTGTGCGCTGAACCCACAGCTAATGCTGATCAAGAATGTATATACCTAATGGCTTAAAGATGCTACCTTCTGTCTTTTTATCACTTTTGCACAATTTCACACATTTTAAATGAGTTCCCCTTTTAAGGACAAGAGCGCAATGCAAGCATTCTGCTACCAATCCAAATTCAATTATATTTATAAAGTGAATATAAGTTATATGGATTAAAATTGCAGCAGCTATTTCTGTAGAAATTTCGAAATCAATTTACCTTTTTAATAATAATAATAATAATAATATATATATATATATATATATATATATATATATATATATATGTATCTATATATAGATCCTGGCATATCCTTCAACTCTGGTTAAATGCCAAACTGTTCCGTCCAAAAAGTAGCAAATGCAAACAGTGGCAAGACAGGGTTGGAGGGGTATGGGTATGAAAGAGAGGCTGCAGCAATTTGCATTGTTGTCGCACAGCCGGGCAAAAGTGTCAAGCGAGCAAGTGTGCCGGCGTATGTGTGTGTGTGCGAGTGTGTGTGTGTGACTGCAATGTCCTTGCAGGCAGGCAGGCAGGCAGGCAGGCAGTTCATTGAACGTTGCGAGGTTGCAATATTCCACTTGCAGCCTGCAAGCAGCCGCAGAGAGCAGCAACTGCGCAAGCATTAGAGAGAGAGTGAGAGACACGGTTGGCCCGAGAGAGAGAGAAAGAGAGAGAGAGAGGGGAAGCGGGTGAGAGATTGAGAGAAAAAGAGGTAGTTCAATGCACGCCAACTGGGTTAAGTGGGAGGCGTAAACGTCTCAGTCTCCCCCATCTGGGTTTCAGTAGCAATTTTTAGCATGTGCTCAATTTTTGCAGCGAGCGCCTATGACGTCACTAAAAAAGAAGGGCGTGTGTGTAAGTGTTGCTGAGTGTGTGTGTGTGTGTGTAGCGGTTTACTTTGCGTATACTATAGTGTGTGTGTGTGTGTGTGCTTAATGGGCACAAGGGCATTAAAGCCGGCCGTATTGCTGACTATAAGTAGACGGGTTAAATGAACAGTGGCTAATACACACACACACACACGCGCGCACACACACACACGCACACACACACGCAAAACTGGCCGCATCAAATGAGCCAAATGTCCATAAAAAAAAGCCAATGGGGAAATGGGATTTGGGTGCACGCGGCGCGTGAGTGATTTTTCGTGTCTCGACCGCTAGATGGCGCTGGCCGTCGACACACGCCAAATAATAATAATAATATCCGTAGTGACCCCTCAAGTGCAGGTGGTCGGTCCAAGGTATAAGCAAAAACCGCAACCAACCAACCAACACGTCCCTCCGTCTGTCACAACAACAATGGCGTCTCGTCCGACCAAATACAATGGCCAGCAAATGACAATAACACGCATGTAGCCACAGCAGACTTGCGGCGACGACAATTATTTTATTCTGCCTGTCAGCCTGAACCTTAACACCCCACACGGGTGGGCAGCACCATCCCCCGCACTCTGCCCACAGACGAACTGAAACAACACGCGCCAGACAAATGCGCACAAGAAGTGAGCAGTGGGTTAATTATACACGTACGGTTGGAAGATGGGCACGGGGCAGGGGGCAGGGGGCAGGGAGGTAGTGACGAGCCTCCAAGGTAAGTCCTTTACCTCAAAAACATTACCCAATGGAAAAGTACACACAATTTGCATGTGAACAGGGAAAAACTCAGATAAAATGTGGTCGACGAGAGAGTTTTGGTTTGGATGCAGTTTTTCTTCTACCAACATTTAATGCAGTATTTTAATATAAATTATAAAGTATAAAAATGATTATCAACATTAATTACAAAGTCAATATAGCCTTGTCTATCTGTGCAAACTATTATCTTGATGAAACTCTGAACATATCAGTCGATCAGAGGATAAGTTAGGATTGGTTACCGTATGGTCAAAACTAAATATCAATGCCTTTTTGATCAAGCCGAAGGAACTTTATTGATGAGATGATCACATTTTTGAGAACTCACATATACATTTATATAATCATAATACATTTGACATAACTTGGAATGAATATTTCATTGAGGATATTCCACATCTCTGGGGAATATATAGCACTGCATGCAATTTGAGTGTTTGAGGCCACTGAAAACCGGTTGCCAATTGAAGATCAAGTAGCGTAGCTTCTCCTCGTTACTCGAAAATCGATTGGTGTTGCGGCGACAGGCCTCCACGAAGAACTCGGCATAATACTGGGCCAGCTGAATGCCGAGACGAGTGTGGGCTGCGCTGCAGTTATCATTTTCCAGCAGGCCCAGCTCGTGAGCGGCACGCTCCGGATGAAACTGACTGCCAAATATGGGAAAGCGTCGATGCTCGATGAGGGTTATAAAACGCTTCGTCGGCTCCGATGGCGACTCCGTTGCCGATTCCCTCGTGGCTAGGATACGCCAGTCCTTGTGGAGTGCATAGCGATGCAGATTCTCTACCTCGATGCAATAACGATGCTGATGACAGGCAAAAGGTATCTTCTGCATTTGCTCGGCCAGCTCTGGAGATAGATCCGCGAGCATGGTTGAATTGCCTTCTATAGAATCGGTGCTCCAGTGCAGTGGCAACGCCTTAAAGAATCTGCCACATTCGGTGCGCACCTCATTTGTCTTGGCAGCATTTATCAGCAGCAGCTGAAAGCCGAGGCAAGTGCCCCATATGGGAAAATAATTTCCAGCCTCATTGCGCTCCATAGCCAGCTCGTAAATATACCGAGCGGACTTGACACAATCATTGGTCAGCTCCGGTTTCTCTTTGACCTCCGAATCCTCCAGATAGACAGCGCCACCGGGCAACAGTATCCCATTCACTTTAGTCATGATTTGTGCATAATAATCACGTTCACGGCCAATCCTAAAGAATGCGCAAAATAAAAACGAAAATTCGACGAAAACGTTTAAGTGTTTACCAAACAAAACAAAATCTCATTTGGCACTTTGCCAAATGCAGCGCAGTTCCCCCGCACCCTCTCTCCCCCTATCTACCACTCTCTCTCTCTCTATCACGCACTCTCTCTCACTCTGTCTCTCAAGCCACTCACGTCAGATTTTCAACTCATTTCACTCATCTTAATCACTCACCAAATAGGTACGATCAATGCACCTGACGCCTCTAGATGCTTCACATAGTTAGCCGACATGTGGCAATAATTTCCTTCGTATAATTCGGCTAGGCCTTTGGCCAAATCCATGCACATGACGCCAATATTAGGTACGCGCCCCTCACTGTTCCGCTCACCCTGACCCAGTTCCATCATTACTTGCACTATAATTATTATTGATAGAAACAAATGGCTGTCACACCTCATAATAATTTAGTCAGTCCTAAAATTTGGTCACTATAATCTTTTTATCTACCTTATTATGTCAAAAACCTCGCAAATTTAATTCATTTAATTATCCATTCTACAGATGCAGATCAGGCACCGATTTTTAATGATAGCAAAAGCGAAAGAAATAAATTTTTTTCGCCTATTCGGAACTTGACTAAAAAATACCCTGTCACGTTCAAATTTAGTTAGGAAATAAAAAACACCCAGGTTTGTCGTATTTTCAGATAGCTTTATACTTTGATTTTGAACTGACTGTTTTTTGTTTCGACGCCTGCTTTAAATGGGCGCAAAGTATTTGCTTAAGGAAAGCTGTTATCTCCATATGGTTAGACTTATCATAATTTTATACACCAAATCGTAAAGATACTTACAATTTCAATATGTTAAGAACACAACTGAACAAAGACATCGGACGTGCCTAATGATAAAAGTCAATGAACATTTGCATTGTTTGCACTGTTTACATACAAATACACTTGTGATTCGTAGTCGATTTCATTAATCGAATTTCTATAAATAGACAGTGCATTTTGGTGGCGCGCGAATTATTGGCATTAGGTCATCTCTTGACGGCTAGGCACACGTTTTAATATTATTTAAAAAAAAAGGAAATCACCACTTTTAAGCAGACTCACCAAATAGGCATAACTAGCGCTCCTGCCGCCTCCAGGTACTTAACATAGGAGGCGGAAATATAGCACGTAATATCTGAATCACAAATGGAGCGCAGGGTGCTGGCTATGTCCATGCACAGCACACCCACAACAGTATTATCGACCGGTGAAGCATCTACCCTCTCTGCCATTTCTTCAAATACTGACCCGTTCATATTGCACAGTACAATTTTTGTTAAAAACGAGAGAGCCAACCCCACACGAAGCACTCAGTGAAACAGAACAAAAGGATTGTGCAAAAATAATAACTCAACAACTACAAATGCATTAGTGAGAAACGATCGGGCTACCGCTTTTGCAGCACATAAAATATATTTAAATCGCTGCCTACTTTTAGCCAGTGTCGTTGGAATTGTTTAGTTGACAGTGGTTCGAATCCAACGCTTAACTCAATTCCTTAATAGTCAGTGCTCCCTAAAATATAATATAATATTTAAAATTATATTGTAGCATACCAAAATCTTTAATGATAATTACCTGGCACTTATATTGTTATATTGAAACTGTATAACATTGTTGATCGATATGGCCGATTCTGAGTGTAGCTAAGTAACGAATATATTTCAAGTTTCATCAAGACAGCTTGAATACTACTCCTTATATATTTTACAACCAAGTAAAATCATTATTATTATCAAATAACACTCCACAATAAAACCAAATCATCAATATTTATACTTACATAATTTATAGTTCGCAAAGGCAAGTAATTATTGTTATCATAATCTGAAATCTATGCCACGTGCCAAGCGCAGCAGCAACCAATGAAAAAGCACAAAAAATTCGCACGTGAAAAGCTATATATATATATAAAGTCATATCAAAGTGCGCTGATCTTACGTTTGTCAGTTCAAATGCAATGGGACTAATCATACAATGCATAGAGGAAGGTAAAAGTAATCAAATTTCATAAACTAATTCAAAGACAAAATGTAATTCATTTATTCAAAATTCATACAGATTAAAATTACCCTTATCTAAAAAAGCAAATTGAACACTGTAGCGAAAATCAGGCCAAATCCCATGGATATCGATACGGCGCCATTACGATTAGGATTGGGATAATAGTAAGGAGGATAGTAGTCTGGACGTGAGCCATAAGGTTCATCATCATCCGGTTCACCCTCATCTGGAATTTCTGGAATCTCCCCAAACACATATTGCTGAATATAGCTAGAGCCCACCAGTGCTGTATACTCCGGCTTGTAGTTATAAATCAGAGATTGTGCCTGTTCTGTGGCATTTTTGAAGACATGCGGATTGCGACGCGCCTCGCTAATGAAAAAATCAGCAAAATACTGGCCACTCTGCACCGCCGACGGGGTGTGTGGCACTTTCGCACTGACAAACTCGTAGAGCGCCTTCTCTGGATGGAACTGTACGCCATAAAAGGGATACCTCAGATGCTCAATGGTGGATACGAATTCAATGCCATTCAAGTCGTGATTTAATGATATAATGCGCCATGAGTTATTTAATGGTGGCACCTCAAAACTCTGCTCCGTGTAGCACCACTGATGATAGTTATAGGTCACATTTTCAACGGAGAGTTTTGTAATCAGATCCTCACTGGCACCACCAAAGAGCCGACTCTGGTTGTGGTCTAAAAAATGGATAAAATGACGCTCATTAATACGATACAATCTCGGATATAACTTATCTTACTCACCCGACTTAAACTCCAGTGGCAGGGCCATCCCACGTGCTTGGCAACTGCTGCGTGTCTCCGTTCCATTTGCCATCTTCAGGACGAGCAGTTCCATGCCCAGGCATGTGCCCCACACGGGAAAGAAGGTGCCATTGTCGTTCACCTCCTTGGCTATTTCGATCAAATGCTCGCCAGCATCTCCATAGCCATTGGTCTCATTGAACCACGTTCCACCGCCAGGCAACAGTATACTACATAAAAAAAAGGTAATTGATTGAGTTATAAAAAGATTTCGCTTGCAGCTCGATTTGAACTCACCCATTAATTTTGTGTATCACATCTTCATAGTAGCTACGATTGCGTCCGATCCTATATTATGGAAAGGTGTAACAAATTATTCCTTGAGTCAAAGCATTTCCCTGTTAACTGGCTGTCGTAACTGTTGTTCATATATTACGTTGATAGTAAATACAATTACGTCTTATCACAAGTAGCACTGATTAATGGCATACGCCAATAAGAGGCGATTCTTTATTTACTCAAGTAGTAGCAGAAATTAAAATCGTTATCTTCGAAACACTTGTTAGAAAGTGATCCAGCGAAATTACTTAACGTATTATAGAAGATTGTCGGTTGAACATCTGATGCGCAAATAATTAAAATTTCTAAAAAGCAATATTTGATTGTAAGTGAACTAAAAATTAAATTAATTTTCACCAGTATCGACTGAGCAAGTAATACATATTAAATTTAATCATTTCTGTTGACTGCAATCAGAAGTTATATATTTAAACGTATTAAAAGGAGCAAATGATAATAAAAATGAGAATAAATATCTTCTGATTGCGAAATATTTATATATTAATTTATGTGTGATTTAATTCTTATCTTTGCCAAGACAAAATAAGTGTCAAAAGAGCTGCTACTTGCAAATTAAATATTTGCTTAAGATATCTTGAAAGAAAAATAAAAGACGATTTAAAAAACAACACAATTAACTGCAAAATGATACTTTGAACACTATATAATTTAGAGCTACAAGTCCAATGACTCAGTCATAGTGTAAGCTGCCTGCTGTAAAAAGAGAATTTTATGCCAAGGTTTTGCACATATAGCTTCTAAGCTCCCAGACTAATTTACACGGCAGAATGCAAGATTAGATAAATGTTCTTATGCGTTCAGTGTAACAAAGACTATATATATTTGTAAACAATTTTAAACTGGTGAAAGCTCCTTTCTGGTGTTACACTCACCAAATGGGAACCACTCTACCACCGGCGCCCTCCACAAACTTGACATAGGAGGCCGCAATATAACTGGTGCCATTGAAGTGGGTAACAGTCAAACTGTCCGGATACAGTTCTTGGGCGAGTACACCAATGATTGGTGAAACTGCGCCATTGACATCAGCTGTACTCGGCGAGACAAGCAAAGAGAGCAGCAGCAGGCACGTGACTAGCCACGATGCGATCCTCAGGTAATTCAGCATTTTATTGCAGCGTATTTGGAGCGAAATTCGCAATTGCGAACACCTCCGTCGAAGAACTAAATAGCACTGACATTGCTAAGCAAATGGCAGTCTAAATTTAAATGAAATTTTGCACTATAAATATTTCTCCGCTTGAGGTGGATGTGTTACGTATATATGACGAATAGTAGGTAACTGATTACAATATTATCACCAGGCACTGATTTGGCTTTGTTCGAAATTTCAGGGAAACAGAGGGAATGATTTTTAACGCAAAAAAGCAACAGACTGTTGGTGAGTGTAAATGTTTTACGTATGACGTAGAGGCAGCTAGCCGATTACGATATTAACACCAGGCAATGATTTGTGTTTTGCTCGCTAGTAGAGGAACTTTACCCGAGTACATTTTTAAGCCAAGTTAAACTGCTACCCAAACAAAAAAAAAACAAAAACAATACAAATACAAACTAGTTTGTTTGTGCTTATTCATGCAAGTTTTACACTTTTACGACCGTCTTAATTAATAGCTTCAGCTTGTGCTTATTAGTAACGGCAACAGCTGCAATCACATGCGAATTTGAAAAACAAAGCAATATTTTCGCTAATTGATTGTCATCAGCTGTTTTTGGCGCTGCTTCTTCTTGCTGCGGTAATCAATGATCGATAAATTGCCATTCAGCTGGAGGAGAGCAGCTGTTGTTGTTTCTTCTTAATGCTGCTCTGTATGCTGAGTAAATATTTCATTTCCACTAAAGTTTGTTTTATGGCCAACAAATCATTCGAATCGAATTGCGTTGTTAGTTTCTTGGCATTGTATTCCAGTTCTTTGACGATTTGTGTATTAAGTTGTTCAAGTGTTGCGCTGTCAGCTGCCTCCTCCACCTCCTCGTTGCGCTCCATCATTGCCATTAAAAATGTGGTGTTTAAGGCGCTATTATCCTGTGGCATCGCCTCCCCCTCCAGCTGCAGAATATATTGCCCTCGTTCCACGGGAGCCGATAGCGTTTTGTACGCCTTGTTGATCAGTGAACTCCAATCCGCAGAATTTGTTTGCTCGCGGGAAGTTCTGCGTTTGAAAATTATTTGATAGAATCGAATAATATTTGATGTAACTGAACCATACTTATTGCTGTATTTATCAGGATGCACGCGCGCCTGTAGCTGTCGAAAACGCTGCGTCAGCTCTTGAGTTGGCACCGCAAACTTCGTGGGAAAACTCAACAGCTCAAAAAAGTTCTAGATGAAAAAAGTGTTATCCAAATGAGTCTTCATGATACAGTTAATCCAATACTTGCAATTTTGTCTTGCACATCTTGCAGGCAACCGCAGTCGCTGCAAATCATTTGATTGCCAGACTTTTTGCAGTTCCAACAGGATTTCGATGTTACAGAAGACGCACTGCGTCTGGCTTCAACTCTATACTGTCCAACATTCGTTGTGCTTGTTAACTTAAAGTTGAAGCCATTAAAATCACTTCGCAAAACAGCACACACGCGACGCATATTTTTTGATATTACTAAATATAAATTACACTCTAGCTCTTATCACAAATTACACAAGCAGGCACAAAACAAAAATCAGCTGGCCAACTGCGTCGTCGCTCAATAGTCTGGCAACGCTGTAAAAGTTCATTTTTCGTTCCCAATTTATAAATAGTCTTTGGCTGTTTAAACGCAAACGCGGCGATAACAAAAGACTTGCATACACACACATAAATATATATATATGTATAATTTTTAAGCAAAATCGAAAAAAACACACAACACACAAATTGTGTCGGCTGCTCCAGGTGAGGCTCGAACTCACAACCCCGGCATAGCTCTCAATTCATACACAGTGTACTGATTATAAGTACCGTGCGCTAACCAATTGCGCCACTGGAGCCTTCAGAAAAAAATTTGCCAAATGGATGACTTGAAACAACAAAACTTCCTTTCAAATCACAGGCTTAAAGCTCCCCTTAATCGGACGTATGCAAAAAGGATAGCACGAATGCATGAAAAAAGCACATGAACAACATGAAAAGTTTATCTAAGTTCATACATATGTAATAAGTATATTTTTGTATGTATATATATAAAAAGTACTTTTAATTAATTTTTTTTTTGCGTTGTTTAAATTGAGTCTTTTCTGTACGCTCGATAGTTGTTCATCTCTGTGGGAAATGTTTTGTACAATTCCATTAGCAGATTTGCTTTGAACTTTTTCAGGCTTTCGATTTTGCCTTTTACTTCCTCATTCTTAGCGAGCGCCTTTTCCACACAGTCCTTCGTGTAGAGTTGCGGATTTTTATCTTGATCAATGTAATCGAAGAACACCTCGAAAGGCACATAAACATCCTGCACTTGTGGACGCAATTTATCAATTTCCTGCAGACCGGTCACCAAACTGTTGCTGTTGTTTAAAAAAAAATGAAGAGTATTTGACAGTAGTATTTAAGAATAGTATTTTTGGCATTTTCATTCTTACATTTTTTGATTGAGTACGTTTTGACCCTGTGGCTGAAAATCGCTCACAATTATACGTATCTGGCGCACGTTCTCGATAAACATTTCTAGTTGGGTTTCCAAATTCTCCAGCGGCGAGGTCATTTTCAACAATATTTGAACAAATTTACCAAACTTTCTTCACAATTTTATTAATTTTCATTCGCACAGCTGTTTGTTTATTTCTGCAATTGCTGCTTCTTCTTCTTGGCCAGCCATTCAGCTTACTTACGATGTGGACTATCGATACTATTGTAACTTGTTTCGATGCTTTTGTTCGATAATTGATCACTGCCAGCGGTGTTTGCCAGAAGAAGCAGAGCAGCCAAGTGCATGGTTTCCATTTATAATTGTTTTAAAGGACCTTTGAAATAAACAAATAACCGGTTAATCAATGTCGGACGGAGATTTGGATGCATTGCGCGCACAGCGCATGGCACAGATGCAGTCGCAATTTGTAAGTACGAATTAATCGACGCTTAATGGTATATTCTAGAAAAACCAAAAATAGCTCTAAAAAAATAGATATATATTTGTATATATAAATATGTATAAAAGTGTGCTGCTTCTGCATAAAAAAAATTCAACTAGACAGCAGTTAAGCTAAATGTCAATCGCAGCGAGGAGGCATGAGTCATAGTTGTTTTTGTCGCTCGGACAGAACAGCTGTGAGAGAAAGGGTATACAATAACTAATATACCCCTCAAATGCTTCTACAGGGTAGCGGCGGTGGCAACGATGCCGATAAACAAAAGGCTCAGCAGGAGCAGATGCGTGCCCAGGAGGAAATGAAGCACTCAATACTGTCCCAGGTGCTCGATCAACAGGCACGCGCCCGACGTAAGTTTCACATTTGTGTACAGTGAAACCCAACTATAAGGAACCATCCACACCCTTTAATTCACAGTGAACACACTGAAAGTGAGCAAACCGGAGAAGGCGCAAATGTTTGAGAATATGGTCATACGCATGGCACAGATGGGTCAGGTGCGTGGCAAGCTGGATGATGCCCAGTTCGTCAGCATCTTGGAGAGCGTCAATGCACAAATGCCACAGAGTAAATCCACAGTGAAATACGATAGACGCCGTGCGGCCATCGATAGTGACGATGACGAGGACTACGGCTGTTGATTTTCGATTTGGATTGAGATTCAATTCTCTACTTTAGAGCCTGACTTAAGTTTGCCTAAGTTTGCTTGTGCACTACAAGAATTGATACTGAAACTGAAGCTGAAGCGCAAGCGAAACAAATTTGCTTTAGATTTTGGTCTTTTTACCAACTATATGTTTATTAAAATTAAAAACACACAATTCAAGCTCTCAATCTCTCTTACAAAATCGGAATCGCTGTCGAATTCAAAGTACAGGGAACGCTCGCAATTTAGAAACTATAATTTTAAATGCATTTAAAATTCCTATACTTAATGATAGAAGAGGAGTTTCTATGTAAGCAAAACACATTTTAAAAATAAGACTAGATTTTGGCGTAATGCATGTTTTGGGAATTGCACTAACAATGAGATGATTTGGTTTGATTTGCTTCCTGCCTTCCACGGATCACTAGGCTTACTCCTTCTTCTCGTGATCCTCCTCTTGCTCCTCCTCGGTGACCAGACAATCGCCACAGAATATGGAGTACATGATGAGCGAGAGGAAACCCAACGGTAATCCAAAGATCACAGTCATCAGCACTGGATTACCTCGCCACATCTCGCGCATCGATCGCTTCAGCTCGAACAGGGCGCGATTCACGCGCACAAAATAGGAATCGCCTCCGTAGACAGTGGCGCTCTCATTGTTAATGGACTCCAGGAATAAGTGGAGAGCCTGCGGCGTCATCTGCAGCGGATCATCTTCGGGTATATAATGATGCTGCGTCGTCGAGTTCAATGCTATCAAATGCGGCGTTGGCATCTGATCCAGGATTATGGAATGGGCAATCGATGGCTCGCCAATCTACAGGCGGCAAAAAAAGAAAGAGAAAACCTTGATAAATTATTTCAGGCTTGGGGCATCGAGAGCTCACCCATCCAAATTGGAATTTGTCATGATATCGCGGTCGATGTTTCCGTATGACGCCCTCAACCATGTCACGGAACTCCAGCTCATGTGTGGCTATCTGACTGAGTTTATCCTCCTGCACCACAGCCAGGACTAAAAACTTTTTGGTCTTCAGCAGCTGATGAATATTAAACCTCGTCACCTTGGGGAAGAGTGTAAAACGCTCTACATTCACCCACTGAAAGATGGTCTCATTGACATCATTGGGGTCCATTTCGTGGGCAACATGTCCGTGTGGATAGAAATGATGCTGTTCCTCCTTGTAAACAATCACCGCTGGCAATTTCTCGAAATCGAAATGCTGAGCAGCAATATCCTCGCTGGTGGCATAGAAGAAGCCATGCTCCTGATAGCCCTCAGCGGCGGCATAATACGTGTCCCACACAACGCCCTGTTGCTCCCCCACAAACATAAAGAAGATCGTGTGGGATCCCTTCAACATATCCACACTCTCCGTGCGGGTAACCAACTGAACTGGCGGACCTGACATGCGCAAAGCATAATCAACGAGTTCATCCTTGCTGCGATCTCCATTATAGCTGAACTCCATGTTGCCCTTGATGAACATAATGGTGGGATAGCCACGCACCTTGAACTCTCTGGCTGCCGCTGGATATTTGGTGCAATCCAAGCGGCCAACTCGCACATTTGTCGCATGCAATGCTTGGGCAACCAATGCAAAAATTGGCTCCGTCTTCTTGCAGTAGCCACACCAGGGGGCATAGAACATCACCAGCCATTGGCCCTCGTGACGCACATCGATGAAACGATCGCTGAGCTCCAGGACACGCGAGGATATCGCCGGTGTTCCCAGCACCAGCAGAAACAACAATGCCAGGCAACAATTCCCAATTGATTTTGGCATGTTGCGGCTGGTTTTATGTTACGTTATCAGTGCAGTGATCGTTGCTGCTTATTTATTGCATAATTAATGGTCACGTTTTTTATTTATTTAGACTTGCAGACAGGCTACAACTGACATTAATTGTAATTAAATTAGCAAAATTATCAATTTTCTTCAAGAACAACAAACTACCCCCAAACACCGAGTTCTTTAGTTCATTTGGTGAGTCACTGGAAATGAATCAGTGCTGCCAGGTATCGATTACAAATTCAATTACAGATAGAAGTGAATGAATAAAAAGCTACGCAATTTTCAATTATTTGCTAATTCATTAAACAAAAGCCACATAAGACTTTATATATGTTTATCTATATATATATATCAATTATAATTAATAGTCTTATTCAATATTTTAGAAGATCACATATATCTTATGAATATGCAAAAATGCAGAGCTAACTTGGCATCACTGCTGTGAACCACCACGAATCACTTGCTATATCGATAACTTCAACTACTTCTATTCATTCGCTGCGAATGGCATTGTTTACATCGCGAACAAGGCAGTCTGGCAACACTGGCATATCAAAACACGCTCGACACACGTGCGATTTGTGCGTTTGAGTAAAATATAAAAATTAATGATTTTAGACGCATTTCATAATGAAAGAAAACACACCCGATAAACCCGACGGCACGGCACTGGTGCACAATGTACGTTTCTACACAATAAAGCCCAGGGCCATTGTGTGTCTGGCTTACTCCAAAGTGCTCAAATGCCTGGCGCTCAGCCGGTAAGTAAAATATTTAATTAACATTTATATATAATTGGAATATTATTGTGCTAGTGAGGATGGATCGATTGAGTTGTGGGACATGAACTATGCCCCATATTTGGATCGTGTGATACAACTGACTTCGGAGGCGCAAGTGGAGTGTTTGGCGTGGGCGGGAAAAAGACTTTTCTCTGTGGATTTAAATGGAAAACTCATCGAATGGGATTTGAACAAGCTGCAGCCACGCTACGAACAATCACCGACGGGGAATGCTCTGTGGTGCCTGGATGTGAATAGTGCCGAGACTGAGCTGGCCGTTGGCTCCGAGGAGGGACACATAAATATAATGAGCATTGAGCATGACGAGATCAGCTACAAAATGCTCTTCAATAAGCAGGACGGGCGTGTTCTCTGCTGCAAGTTTGATAAGCCGGGCAAGCGACTCGTGACGGGGTCAATGGGTGCCGTGCGCATCTGGAGTGTGGCCAGGGGCAATACACTGCACACAATGACTCTCTCCTCCAAGGAAGTAATCGTCTATTCTCTGCAAGTGCTCAGCGATAATACGATTATTGCGGGTGATTCGGCGGGTTTTGTGACCGTGTGGGATGCCTCAAATGCCGCACAGCTGGAGACATGTAAGGTGCTCGATAAGAGTGTATTCGCGCTGGCGCTCAACGAGCAGGAGGATCGGCTGGTGTGCAGCGGTTTGGAGCCACCTTTGATACGTGTCCTCAGCAAGACACAAATCAAGCGCGACGATTCGGTTTGCGAGCGTTGGATCAAGTTTCTGCAGCGCGATGCGCACAGACATTACGTCAAGGCACTCGTCATGATCAATGATCGCATCGTTTCTGGCGGCGAAGATGGCATCCTGTGCATCTCATCGAGCAACAAGGCGCGAGCTTATGTCGCCAGATATGCACCGTTTATACGTGGACCTTGCGCTAGTTTGGCAAACAAAGCGAATCTGTTGCTGCTACGCTATCCGCAGAGTTTACATTTGTGGCGCTTGGGCTTGCCACGTCCTGACGAGCATCAAAACTCGAAGCTGGGCGCCTGTGTGGAACTGCAACTGGGGCAGACACCAGAAAAGCTGTTGCAGTTGAATGTGGGCGACAGCAAATTTATACAAGCTGCTGCCATTTCGCAGGATAACGCCTGGATATGTTATTCAACTGGCAGCGAGCTGCGCTTAAGTCACCTGCAACTCGAGCCGAAGCTGAGCGTGCAGCGTTTAACAGAGGATTTGCCAGCAGAACTGGAGGGGGCAGCCATCTTTATAGCCTTTGCCAAGTCGGATCAATTGTTTATTCTCCATGCGGCAAGTTGTCAGCTACGCTGTTTTAGCTTGCAGCAGAGGCAAGTGGAGTTTCTCTACAGCATTGACCTGAGCACGGAGCTGAAGTCGCCCATTAGCCACGTGGAGCTGTCGTCGTGTGGCAAATATCTTGTGGTTGCCACCACAAATCATTTAATTGCCGTTTGGCAGCTGCGTGGCAAGTCGAAGCAATCGAGGCATTTGTTGAACTTGCCACGCTATAAAGCTGGCACCACAGCACTGGCTCTGGGCGAGAATAGTCCACGTTTGGTGGTTGCTTATACCGATGGTCGGATTGTGGACTATGATCTGGTCGAGCGTCGTTTTGTGTGCGAAACCGATCAACACTTTATGCCCAATGCGGACTTGCATTGCATTAAGGGCATTCAGCTGGATGCACTCAATCCCAACATAATAATTGTCTACAACGAGGTGTATCTGTATGTGTTAGAGAGCTATCAACTGGAGCAGGCGCAGGATCATGCGCCAAATAACAAAGCCAAACGCCTGAGCAGATCCAGTCGTGCCGTGGAGTCAACCAAACTGCAGAGCTATCGCCTCAAGATGAGCCTCACTCGTCAGGTAAGCGCACTCTAAATCACTCTCACATATCACGTCACCTAATCGGAATCTCTTTCTTCTTCTTCTTCCCTCTGGCAGCATCTGGCTCAGGTGTGCCGTCTCAGCCCCAAAGAACTGGTCACAATTGGTGTGCAGACGAAAAATCTATTGGCACCTTTACCGCCGCCCTTCCAGCGGAAGATGTTTGGCGCCTCGTAGTTGGACTGACCCGGAGGAGCAGCTCTGCCCACAGTAGTACCTAGTTATGTTGTAAATTACACAAAACCCGTTGTTCATCAGTTTATAAACTGCATTTGAAGCACGTTTCTTTGTGGTTTCTTATGCCCTTGCACTGGGCATTATCAACTTTTAATGCAACGAGAGAAGATATCAATTAAAATGTATTATTGATGTGGATGACAAGTGGAGTCTATATATAAGTAAACAATTTGTTGTCTGCCTGTTGCAATTGATTAAGTTCAGTTTATTGTCAAGGGTATTTCAACTTCGGCACATCATTTTTCTTGTTTGTTCGAACTGAAATTTGTCCAAAAATTTGTCTCTGTCGAAATGCCGACGGCGGCACCCAAAATGTTCCACCTTTTCACAGAGAGAAAGGGAGTGCGAGGGGAGAGTGTAGCAGAGTATTATTTGGGAGTACTCTCAACTGGATAGGTTTGTAGATGGATGGCAAATGTGCAGCACAGCACAGCACAGAGAAATTCGTATCGTTTTGTTTTGTTGCTGGCATTTCACTGTAATTGTTGTTGGTTGTATTTCGTATTCGCTTCTCCCTGTACTGTTGTGTTTTTTATTTTTTATTATTTGGTTTTACACTGTCTAGCCAACGTCTAGACAAGTGCATACCACACAGACAGTCCCCAACGAACAGAAAGAGAGAGAGGGAGATAGAGATAGAGATTTTAAGTGCGAGTGAGAGAGAGCGAGCAAGTTTGGTCGTTGCACAATTCAACTTTTAGCTGAAAAATCTCATTGCCCAGCTCAACTCTCTGACCTATCCGGTGTGTGTGTGTGCGTGTGTGTGGGTGTCCTGTCTGTGGCGGAAAAGTATCCTGCAGCCATATTCCGATGCAAGGAGTTGATTTTTTTTCTGTTTTTGCTTTTGGTTTTGGGTTTTTGTGGCTTTTTGTTTTGTATTTGCATAACAATTTTGTTGGTAGCGCATAAAATCCGTTTTCCTGCCGCGACTGTTGGGCGGCCTGCTCTGCCTTTTGGGCATTTGGCGTTGGAATTGGCATTGGCATTTGCATAGACAACAACAAAGCGCCAAATAGACATAAATAATGACTGATGAAATTGTTCAGCTTTTAGACCAGTCATCAAACTGTTTAACTGCTATAACATTTACCCAAAAGTTACAAGAGACTATCAAATCTAAGTAGCCATAGCTATAAACCCGCATTAAGCTAGATTGTTCAGTTTATAAGTGCAATTCTGCTGTACTTCATAATGATGAAATTAAGTCTGTGTTTAGTCAAGTTTATACACAAGTTAATTTGCTACATTTTCCGCTACGATTAACAGATTTAAAAACCTTGTAGAAAATTATCTACCCAAAAATTCACTATAAGCTATGGGTATCAGTAGATAATATGATCTACAACGTTAACAAGTTTAGCTCAGTTAAGAAAGCTTTTTATTGGATGCACACTGTACACGAATCAAAGTTCAATTTGGAGGCACAAACAACTATTATATAAGTCGAGGCTTTACTGTACTTTTACATGGCTTTGGCTAACAAATATTACTCATACGCCACGTGCGCTGCCTTGAGTTGTGCAGACCATGTAGTGAATTCAATCACGCCCTTTACAGGCCAATGTTGAGGCATTAAAATGCACTTAGCAGCCAAACTAAGGAGTAAATAAAGACAAGGAAAGAAAGAGAGAGGTTTTTTTTTTCATAAAAAGTCTAATTTAAACTACTATATAGTTGGCCAGAAATGATACGATTTTCGATTTATATTCAATGTTATGAAGGCTGTTTTTGGCCAATTGAGTGTGGAGTGTGGGCGCTAGTCGGCTGAAACTTATGCAAACTACGCTACCAAATACAAGTAAAAGTCGCAGTCGCAGTCGTAGTCGCAGTTGAAAGTTTACAAAGGAGTCGCGAGTTGGAGTCTAGACAGCGAGTGAAAACTTTGGGCGCTATGCAAAACAACAACAAGAACAAGAACAAGAGCAATGCATCTGTTTCGGGTTTGGGCTTGTGTCGGTGCTAAAAGTTTTCATGCGCTGACACGGCCAGACATTGTGTCGACAAGGGAGGCCAACTTGGAGGAGTGTGGCGGCGTGGCAACAATGCCTCAAATTGACATTTAATTGGTTTGCAAATTAGCCCGCTTGCCAGTTGGCAGTTGCGTGGAAAAGTGAACAAAGGAGTACATAGACATTGGAATGCAGCCACAGCGCACAAAATGATGCAGTGCAGCATCCTTAAACACACACAGCACCCAGTTGCCCCCAAGCCCCCAATCTAATAAACAAGGGCGCGCAAATTGGCCGCTAATGAACGAAACGAGATAAAGCTTAATTTGCATTTAATAATATTAATGCGTTCGTAAAAGTGCCAACCGAAAAGAGACAGAGAGCGAGAGAGATAGAGAGAGAGTGTCTATCTAGTTAGAGAGAGAAGGGGAGGGGGAGAGAGGAGCTGCATAAATCGCATGCGGTTGTCATGACGCTGCAGTCTGCAGTCAAAATGCGACCCCTGCAGCGGTCTAGACAGCGAGACAAGGACCTGCTAGACTAGAGGACAATCTAAGGACAAAACGTGGCTGTCTGAAAAATCTAGGCACCCAAACCAAATCAAACCAAGCCAACCCAACCCGTAATTCGCAAACCGTAACTTTTGAATGCAGCTCAAGCTCAAGCTGATTGAATTTTATGCTCAACAAAAAAGCAAATCAAGTTAAATGAGTGTAGTAGAAGTCAAAACCCTCCCCTCCCCGCTCCCCGCCTCCCTCCATCAACTACACCGCCCCCGTAACTAGGGAGACCGTATTGTGGCTTTATGCTGACCACAAATTAAGCGAGTGCTGCAGCTGCCAAAAGAGGCTGCAACGGGGCATTGAAAGGTCAACCTTTTCAAGGGGCAAGCAGTTGCTAGGCCACAAGGAGCAAGGAACTGTGGGTTGAGTGCTAGTTGGAATTTTGGGGGAGTTACTTCAATATGACCATATCGCAGTTGTTGTTGCAGTTGCAGTAATTTGAGTTGGCTTTCCTTGCTGACTTCTTGCTGGGTTCTAGCTGTAGTTGCGCTGGCGTCAGCAACTTTTTGCACTTTTCCCATTGAATTTTTGTCCTTCGGCACGTTGCCAAAGGACAAATGTACAATAAACAGCGGCACTCACCAATTGACACAGGACAAAGGGAGAGTACAACGGAGTGCAGAGGTAGGAGAGGGGAGGGGAAGAGGAGGTGCAGTTAAGCATCTTAATGCACACAGTGTCATCGTATGGGGTAAAGCTTCCTGGTTGCAGACAGTCAAGACGTTCATTGCCAGCAAGTTGCAGTTTTATGGCACTCTTAGTGTGCACTGTGGGAAATATATATAGAGATATATATAGTCTATCATAGTCCATGTCTATCTTTTTCATATTTTATGTCTCACTCTTATCTCATACTTTCCTTTTTTTTACTTTCCTAACGCTGGTTATTTCTGTATTTCCCAAATCCTTCCAAATATTGCACCTTTTTACTTTTTCCTTCTTATTTCCATTTATTTATTTTGTATTTAATTTCCCACTTTTATTTTTGTATAATTTAATTTGTAAGTTTATTTATTAAAACCTTTTAAGAATGGTGGACTGTTTTTGGTCCACATTAAATATATAAGAGAAATTAAAGCGCAAAAAGGTCGCCTTCATTAACTTAATAACAAAATGAATCCCTTTTTCGTTTAGTGTAAGAAACTTGCCAAAAGTATTTCAACGCCAAAAAGTATTTTCAGCGAATTTGCAGCTGTCAATTTTAATTTGAAATTCATTAGAATTCAAGCGATACGAGTTGACAAATCCATTTAGGCTAAGTAAGGGTATTCCCCCAAGACTGCCATCAGTTAGTTAGTTAAGCGAACTTTATCAAGTGCTGTGGGCTGTGAATTGTGGTTATAATTTTAATGTGCTTGTTAGTCACGCACTTTTGCAACAGTTAAACACACGGCTAAAGCAAGTCCACAACGACAAGCCGCACTTGCAACAGCAACAGCAAAGAAGAAGAGTTAACATGTGAAAAAGGAATGTGCAACATTAGCCGGCGTTTCATTGTTGTTGGCGTTGCTGTTGCTGTTGCTGCTTCTACAATTTGTTGTGTGATTTTGTGTACGCGCTTCGTTTGCAAGTGGCAACCACAATTTAATTAAGCCAACAAAACCAACGGCCAACAAAGGTGGGGGCAGGGCAGCGCGGGGTATTAGCCCAGTGTGTCTGTCTGTCTGTCTGTGTGTGCTCCACTCAACATCATCATGAGGCACCACAACATGATAGCTGATAGACACATTCTGTTTGCGTCTCCTCTGTCTCTCTCTTTCGTGCTTGCAACACGCAAGGGGTGATGGGAGAGGTGGGGGCTGTGCTATGGTAACGGCTGCAACTGACCGCACAAACGGGAATTGTGAAAAATGACTGGTTGTCGTCAGCGTTATGACACAATGCTCTTCTTCTTCGTGTTGCAGTCTGCGCTCAAATGCCTTGCACAGTGAGAAAAGCGCACAACAAAGTTAACAAAAGTATGAGTGCAACAGCCTAGCTAATATCACAATTGATTGGACTGCGACCAATTACATATTTATATTGTGCTCCCTTCTGAGCTTATAGTTTTTGCATCTATCCCAATTCTTAAAGAATCTTTATCAGCTTGAGGATTACCACATCTTTAGAGTCAATAACATATATCCCTAGGAGACTACATATTTTTCTGGCTAAGGTAGCACATTCTGCAATGATGTGCCTTACGAATTAATCCTCAGCTCTTCCAGCAACCCTAATTCTTACAGAATCTTAATCGAGTTGAGAATTCTCTTCAGAGTTGATATCATATCTATCTAGGAGACTCGTACTAACAAACTCTACAGACTATACTTAGTTTAGTTAGGCGACTTCTTTGTCTACTATGTTCTGACAAGAAATAGCTGTATACAAAAATGTAATTGTCTGAGACCAGGTGCCTTATCTCAGCTCGGTTGCTGCAGAGATCTTTCTTCGTTTCTTAGTTGCTGCCGCATTGTGTGTTTTCCTATGCCACAATACAGTTATTTTCCTATTAGGGGCCTCTCTGCCACTTCAATTTTCCAGACTTATTCAC